GTCTGTCAGTCCACCTAATGTGATTTCTTTTTAATTACAAACAAAAAATGTCATACATTTTGGAACATGACAATCTGTGAGGAACAGGTTTTTCAAGATGCGAGGGAGGGAATAGTGGTGGGAAAACCCTCAACCATAGTTGCTGGTTATCAGCTACGGTACAAATACAGGAAAGTGTGTAGAACTTGAAGCAGGTGCAGACTAGTAGAGTCTTCCATGTGCAAGCCCTGCTTTTTGTGATGGCTGGGTGGAGAAGCTGAGTTGTTAAATTTAGCAGGGTGGTTACAGGCGGCCTTGTCCAGTGTGAGGTCTCGAGATGAGTTACCACTTTCCTGTGGTTGGCTTACTGCATTAGCATTTTGAATGTTTCTGTCTTTCTGTTAATTGTTTGTCTCTTCTTCTCTTGGCAGCGTATGGACATTGAAACCTGTCAGAGAAGAAAGACTCTGGATACAAGGTCTGTCAAAGAGAGGAGGAGCCCTGAGACTTAACCCCTGCAGTGCTAAGGTTAATGGATTACTACCCGTATGTTGTTAAATTTCAAGCAGTTTAAAAAAGTAAGTTTGTCAGACTTTTTGCTTGAGCAGTGGTTTTAAAATTCAGTAGCTTACGATACTGCTGGGAGAGTGTGCACATCTGCTTGGCCCTTTGCTGGTTCTGTCCAGTGCTGCTTGGACAGAATCATAGAATCATAAAGGTTGGAAAAGACCTTTAAGATCATCAAGTCCAACTGTCAACCAGATACCACCATGCCCACTAAACCATGTCCTGAAGTGCCACATCTGCTCATTTTTTGAACACCTCCAGTGATGGTGACTCCACCACCTCTCTGGACAGCCTGTGCCAACGTTTGATGAGATGTTGTTGACTTGAGGCTGGACTTGCGTAGTTCGAAATTCACACCAATGGTTCTGCTCCTTCTTCCAGAGCTGATGTTGTACTTTATAGCGGTGGGTGTTGAAGCTTCTTGTAACTGTCTGCCCAAGCTGGATGGTGAATAGGCAAAGGAGAGGGTTGAAGATGTAATACTGTGATGGATGGAAGGAGGAAGGAGTCAACAAGAAAAGGCCTGTGAAGGGTGTTGCAGGTGGGATGTTTGGGTTGTGGAGGAAAGGACATAGAAGTTGGGGTTAGGGAAGGGAAAATAATGTGCTGGATGGACAAGAAGAAACCTGAGAGGAAGTGGTATTATATGCAGTGCTGTTAACTTTGTGTATGTTGTGTGGGTAGTTTAGGATCTCTTTGTGTATATCTTGTGTATGTATTCATCCAACAGAATGGGGAGACTTGTGTAGAACCTTTTTTTCTTCCCTACAACCATGTTTCTTTGTAACTGAAATTCTGTGTTAAAGCTAGCGCTTGGTATTCTTGGCATGAGATTTTACTAGAAAGTGGGATTTTAAATCTTAAAAAGTGTAAGAAGAAAATCTCACCTGAATCCTCGGCAGCTTGAGACATAGTTGCTAGATTCTTTTCCATACAGCCCCCCAGTAACTATTTAAGAGAATTTGTGATGGCTGCTGTATTGTTACCGTGGAGGTGTCATGATTTTAAAAGTGCTTTATGTCAAATCACAGTACAATTTGTATCTCAGTGCTTCCACAGATCCCTGCTCTGTATAGTCTGCACTTGTGCCCCGCCTGGCTCCGTCCCTTGGGCTGGCAGCAAGCCACCTTACCCAAACTGATGAAACCTTTAGGATGGGATGAAGTGCCCCACAGGCAGGTCCTGCTGCTTCATTTTCGAAGCTGACAAGTTCCTACATGGTGGTAGGAAGCAAGTGAAGGAGAGACACTACCACCACGTGTAAGCCGTGCAAGTCTTTTGACATAAATGTTGACTTGAATGGTAGAAGTTGGTGGTATCGTATTTTATTACTTGTCCTGAAAACCCTGAATGCTGTCTCCCATCACTGTTGTGAAGTTGCATGACCTCTGTTCTTTGAAGGTACTCTTAGTAGATGTGATCATCTTTCATGCATACGTGCTTTCGTTAGCAAAGCTTAACGTATGTCGTGTCTTTCGCCACATTTTCAGTAAGGGCTTTGAAGACGTTTTGTTGAGAACAGGCCTTGCTTGTCCCACTGTTCCAGATGTGTCCCTGCAGCAGCACTGAGAGGGTGAACTGCCTTTCCCAGCGTTGGTCATAGGATGCCGTCATAGGATGCCACTGCGCCCAAGACCAGAGTCGGAAAGGTGGCGTGTGCTGTAAAGCTGTCGACTACCTGGGAGCACTGCCTTGAGGCAGTTCAGCTGTCCCCGACCGTGTTTGGTTTTCTCCTCTGCCCGCTCCCATGGTGCGCCGTGTGGTCTACAAACACATCACGGTTGCTTGAGCAAGCAGCGAGTGTCACGAACGTGTGGAAGGGTGGCTCTAGAATGTCAGATTTGTTTGCTGTCGTTTTTTATTTGAGTGACAGACAAAGAACTGCTAAAAGCCAGGAGCAGTTAAAAATGATTCATGTCTTGATCATCATCTGTATTTGTCTTTCTTCAGGTTTCAAACGCCCACAATTAAAGGGAATGAAATTGAGAGAGAAAATACAGAGGAACACTGGCAGAGCACTCTCAAGGTAAAGGTGAGTTACTTGACGTCGTATTCAAAGTCTGTGTCAACTCTTCAGCCAGAATGCTAGAGGGGTCAGTAACTTCTGAACCTGTGTTTGGCTGTTAGTTTACAGCTGAGGCAGATGAAGTGTTCCATGTTGCATTCGAAGGTGTGTCAGTAATGGAAACCAGAAGACAATTTTCTCCTACTCTTCAGCGTAAGAACAAGAAATGCGTGCTGTGCAATCTGTTTGGGCAGTGAGGGTTTATTTACTAACATTGTTGATAAGGACAGTCTTAACAGAGTGGTATGTAGTGTTGCAAATATACGAAGTAAATGCAGTCTTTGATTTTTCTAATTTGTTCGTTAAAAAACACAAAAGTCGTAGTGGGACTACCTGAAAATGAGGTGAAAAATTCTCTTGGGTATACTGTTTGTAATTAGGGTGATAACTAGCATTTACAGAGATGAGTAAATGTGTTTCTGGAAACTCCAGCAGATAAAAGTGTTAGGTAAATCAGTTTCAGTTCAATAGAAGAGGCAATAGCTGAGACTACAGCAAATAACATAGACTTTTATAATACTAAATTTGCTTTTTAAATAAATCTGGATTGAAAACAGAACTAGCCCCAAATGGCCATTATGCTATCCATATCCATCTAGTTCAGCTTTTTGGAGAAGTGTCTGTTGTGTCATGTTCTGTGAGTAAAATGTGGTGTTAGGAGCATCTGCTCTGTAGCATTTACAGTGCACAGGAGTCTTAAAATACTCTGACAAGCCTTTAAGGTGATCCTTGCTGTGCAACACACTGTTGGCATCCATCTTTCCTCATTAGCAAATGGCTTTTTTTATGTAGTAGGTATGTTATCTGTCTCTTCAGGTGTGGGCAACAGTTGTCATGTTTTCAGATTTATCAGAATGCCAGCTCTATATGCAAATCAGTTCATTTGCCTAATCTTGGCAATGTGTTCTGAAGTGCCACACCACACCCAGCAGCGCTGACTACTCGCTGCCTGCGTTTTTCTGTCCTTTAAGGGCGTTTACTTGCTTGCGTTATGCTGCTACGTGGTCGTCAGTCATACAGAGTTCAAGAAACACTGGTCAGTGTTTCTGCTGTCCGTAGCTTCGTCCGAGCTGTTTGTGTAACGCTTCCGACTAGTCAGGCCCAGGCCCGATCATGGCAAAGCCCACAGAGTATTTTGTGTTTCCTTCAGTCAGAGTAACTGCTCGGTTATGCACAGGTAACAGTGTGATGCCATCAAACAGATGTGTTTTCTGTTTCTTTTTATGGTTTGGGTCACCAAAGGTGAAAAGCCATTAGATGACAGTGTAACTACAATTATTTATCGGGATAGACTACACTGATGCTATTCTGCGTCATTAGTATATTAACTCTGCGTGTCTCTACCTTACCTTACATCTAAACACTCCACAGAGATGAGGCGGTATTTTAGAATCTAGTAGTCACTGATTTCAGTGGGGCAAGGCACTCCTCAAACAAGGATATTTAATTTTCAACTAATGAAAACCTCTTCCTATAGAGCTAGGCTAAAGTGATTGATTGTCCTGTGATGGTGCAGGCTCTTGGCTTCTGAAAGTGCAGGCCCGTCTTAGGCTGGATGTACTGAAAGAGCAGTTGCCACCCTTGGCTCATTCTCCCCGTTGTGATGAGCATGAGGTCATCTTTGACAGCCCAGCACTAACCGAGCAGAGGGCTGGCAGCAGTAGCAAGAAAAGGACCCAGCACTATTCCTTTACTCGTTCCTCTAAATGACTCTTTACAAGTTGGCTAAAAAACAAAGGCAGTATCACACCACCTGAAACAACCCCCTCTGGCCTCCCAGGTAGACAGGAGATGGCTCCAGCACAGACAGACACGATTCAGAAAGTTACACTGCGGTTTATTTCATAGTTACATGTAGCCTACAGCGTTCTTTCACCATTAAACATTGTCTATGGTATGTATTATCTGCGAACAGAAACAGGTGTCTGCAGAAAGCAAGCAAAGCAAGAACCCTGTGATAAAGAGCTGGCACCCTTTGATTGCATAGTTTAAAATTTCCCCTATGATTCTATGCACTGTGTTGCTTAGACAGCTACTTAATTATTAATAGCAAATCATTTTGAGAGCATTTCTGTGGTCTTGCAAGGAACAAAAATTGTACCTGGAAGGTCGGTCTGATAAGGAAATTCAGTCTATGAACTATTTTCATACTAAGTTTTTCTGTATAAAAATATATCAACTTCATGAAATTGTCAAGCACAGCAAAATAAATACTTACGGCTGGTTTGGGGGCTTAGAAGGGTTCAGCTGACAACACATCAACTCTGAGGTCAGTAACATTCTTTAACATTAGCATTTGCCCAGTGAGGTCACTGCACTGGTAACTCTGCCCACTCAGTAGCTAAGGGTGCGTTCTGTGTCTGGAGTAAGTTAGTTTTTCCTTTGCATTTTAGCTTCCTGTACACAGGCTGGCGTAAGGTAAGCGTTTTTCAGCAAGGCGTTTGTGACGTGCCCCCATGAAGGTGGGTTTTGGGGTTTGCTTCAGCTTCAATAGGCAGCAGCAGCTAAAGCGGCAACCTGTGAATCTGTCTGTGTGGAAACCAACCATGCAGCTTGTAGGGGACTTCCAATTTGTATCGTCACTTCGCAGCGTGAGGAGAGAGGAATGTAGCTAATAGTATAATGTGGAAAAAGTTTCAGACTTGTTCCTTTTGTCTCTTTGCTGGCTGCAGGGCTGGGTGAAGAACAGGCGTTAGTGATGTCAAGAAATGCAGCCCACAGAAGCATGGCCTACCGCTCTCTTCGGAGCGAAAAGTAAGTGCACAAAAAAGTGCAAGTTGCATTTGTACACAGCTGGTAGTGGCAGATGATGGACACAGGTAACCGAGTTCGTTCTGAGGAGGATGAGACAGTGTTTTCCATCGCCTTCATGCTTTGATGTCCTTAATGTGTTCCCTAGCCTTTCTCACTATCAGACCGAACCTTTTCCTGATGCAGAAGAGCAGAAAGTAAAGCAGTTTTAGTCGTCGTGAACTCCTTTGAGCAGCTCTGACAGCTTAGGGATTTCTTTCATTCCTGAAAGAAAGCAGCAGCTTGTTAGAAGATAATAAACAACTTAACTTATTTCTATATATAAATCAAAACTGCCTGGTACGTAAAGCATGCCTCATTTAATTAGGTATTTATTTTCTGTAACAGTTTGACTCGTAAAATGTCTCAAGAGGTCAGTGAGCCTTTCCTCCTTAACAAACGCTCCGCGTGTCCGTGCTCATGGCGGCCAGTACTGGAAAGGTCAGAGACATGTCATTGAGCTGTAAACAGTTCTGCTCAGCGAGGGGAGATGCTGAGACTGGCGTGTTTCACTGCCCCCAGCAAGCACAAACCCATGGACAGGAGGGTTTTTTGTACTTGGGGAAAACAACCCAGAACAGGAAGTTACCAGATACCTATGTAGTGCAGATAGATAGGTATTACAAAAAGCTTTCTCTACTTTAACTAGGATCGATGTTACAAAGAACATGTAGCACTTAAATTTGAGTATCTTAAAAGGACTGAGCACAATAACCAGTCATTGCTTGAAAGACACCATCAGATGCAGGCTACTCCCTTTCAGTACAAAACCCACACTGCTCAGCTACCAGTCAGCACTAGTTGGGAATGAATGCAGATGCAAAGGTCTGGCTGACAGTACGTATCACAGGAGAAGTCCTTGTGAAGCTTGGAGTAAAGGTGAAACTGGCACTTCTCAAACTGGACTTACCAAGTTTATCTTGCAGCAAAGTAGTTTTGTTTCAGCTGAAACTTGCATTAGTAATTGATAGAGAGCTTGGGAAACTTAAAATACAGACAGCTCTCAACAATACTGATCTCTGCAAATGCACACTCTTCTCCATTTTTTATAATGGAAAGTATGACTAACTTACTTACTTATCAGTTTAGGAGGGGAGGGGGGCTGGCTTTATTTTTGTGATTTCTTTAATCCTGTTTAATTCCTTGACATTTCAGTAGGTTGCAATGCAATTGGATGAGTTTTACAGATCAGTAATAAAACTCTGCTGTTTGCCAGTGACCTCTTTCTTACCTTTTTTTTCCTTAATCCTACGCCAAGTAACATCCTTTCAGAACATGCCAGATGCTTTACCCTTTGTCTGTTCACACATAATTGTCTTTTGGTCATGTCCCTCCCCAAAGCTACTCTCTTACACGTGTTTATTTGTGCTGCTCTGCCATGCTCTTGTCTGCAGACTTCATCAGATTCCACTGTTCAGAACACGTGGTTGTGAACTGGCCCCGCTGATCTTCCTCAAGCCTCTACCTCATATTCAGTCTTGGCAGCGTTACCTTCTACCCTGTCGCCCAGCTGGCTTCTGCAGTCCTGTTTGCTGTTTCTACTTTGAATCGCTCCTTCAAAAGTCACCGCTGTGGTGCACTTCCCGGGTTAGTCACTGCCCTGCCTCAGCGTTAAGTTTCGGGGATGTGGGGCGCAGCGTGTTTCGGTAGCAGTTTGGCGTTGTTAGTAGTGGTGATTCAGAGGAATACTGCCCACCCAAAACACTCCTTCACCTGAGAGCACAACACGGAACAAGTTCCCACCCAGTAACGCCGCAGTACAGACAGAGATGCCCGGAAGCCTGCCTTGTGCATGAGGGCAGGGGCTGGTGGTAGAGCAACACCACTTCTTTTTTTAAAGGTAATTATGCGTCAGGGAAAACAAGGAAAGGTGATTTTATTTATGCTCCACCCAACAATTATTGCCGCCTTGCAATAGACGGTATGGTTCCTTGACTTTCATCAGTCACTTTGCTTTTTGCAGCCTAGTTAGTTAAATAAACACTCTGGCTTTCTCTCAGCTGTCAATTTTGGCTAGTACTTTCTTTGAAGTTAAACTGAATACTTGGGAATTTCCGAGCCAGTTACAGTCAATCTCTAGGTAAACTTACGTGTTTCCATATCTCTCCAGTCCTCTCAATTACAATAGTTTGTGATTTATTGACAGGTGATGTAACCTTGTAGTCGTCAGACAGGAGACCCAGAATAGGGTACTGATTCCTGTACCTGTATTAAAAAAAGTTGCAAACCTGTAAATGACACCTGCGTAGCTGTATCCAAGTCACTACCTCTGATCTCGCCACATAGTCCTTCCAGTTAGTAATCCCCAAAGATCTTCACTAGCAACTGGAAAGCTAATGCTGTCATGTAAATGTCACCCAAACACGCTGGCCACCCCTCCAATTGCTGCTGCAGTGCTTAGTACTGAATCCTCCCTGGACAGGCTCTCCTTGCCTGACATCTCCCCCGCTGTGTGGGACAGGTGGTATTAAGAGAGTTGCAGGAATAACTTGGGTAATAGCGGCTATACAATGGAAAATCAGAAAGATGTATTTTTAAAAAAGGTAACTACATTACTTCTTAGTGATGATAGCTGTTACACCGGGAGACTGACTGCCTGATAATTTCTCATGCTTCAATCTGAAGAGGTCCTGAGAAAACCAAAAGTAAACATTCAAATGAAATAATGTTTTCTGAAGTATTAGTTCACTCAAATCACAACAAAGTATTTGCAGAAATTCCTCTCAACGAACAGGCTGAAAAAGTCTTGTCGTTTCAAGAGTGGCAGCGAAACAGCACTCGGTTAAAAAAAATCCCAACCCCGATTCCTGAACCGGGAGGGTACAGGTGACTTCCTGCTACGTTTCCACCTCCGCAGTAAGCAGAGGCTTAAATACAAAATATTCTTAGAAGATCAGTAAGTTGTATTATTTTACCTCTTGCTGTTGTTTAATAAAAGCATCTTTCTCCTCCAACATCGTTGTCAGTTCATGCAGCCTGATTTGCAAGTCACTGTTACTTCCTTCTCTTCTTGATATATCTTGCTGGAACTGGCATAACTGAGACTAGAAGACATATTTAAGGAATAATTAGGTGTCTGGTGCTCCTTGCAGGTCACCTTTCAGTGTGCACCCAGGACCCTGGATGTATTTTTTTCATTAAAGTCATGAACAGTAGGACCCAGTGATTTTCAAATAGGAATGCTGAGCTGCACAGTAAATTAGCACAGAAAGTGCTAACTGGAGTGAATTTTACCAGTATCAATTGAATAAGTTTATAACTCAATAAAGTAATGCACCACCTGACAAGCTGAACAGGCTTCTAGGGTGGTAAAATATTACTACAATGATTTAAATGAGAGACGTTTCCTACATGTAGTTTTGACTGCGATTTATTTCCTGTTGGGTGTCTTCTAGTTATTTCTATCAGGACATGCAAAATACCCCTTTAGGAAAGAGT